CTTCAACTATAAAAAGGATACAAACTCTTATTTTTACAAAACTCACATACACGCTCGAAGTATCTTACTACTACATTATTGTTGAACGTAAACTGTCTTGGGCGTTGGAGTAATTTCTGTTGGGACCCCTCCCGGCATTTTGCATATCATCGAAGGCATTAGGACGATTCAAATTAGTGGATTGCAGTTCAAGTCGGATCAGAGGACAATTTTCACAACAAATGCGTTCACCATTAATCACTGTTTCATTTTATTTTTATTTTTGAAATAATAATCCACGATTTTTCAGTTTCATTGTCAAGCTTACCACCCCCGAAGAAGCCAGTTGGTTCACATTACGCCCTTCCACAACTGAGGACTTCGTCTCGAATACTGTTCTTAGTCAGAATTGATCTCGGTGACCAAGTAATATTCGAGGTTCGTCCATATCTGATGATCAACAACAGTCAAGACCAGTCTTTCTCACACGTCGGCTTAATCTTGAAGAACACTATTTCCAGTCACGGATAGTTGTACGTTGTTGTTTCTAAAGTGACGAATCAAACAATTTCGAGGATAATGATATGTGGTGATGGTATTTCTAACGTTGAAAAAATAATGAATGTTATATAAAAAAAAGTATTTAATAATATTTAGATTAATTTCTTAATTCATATTTTTTTCAATGAGTTAAATTATGATTATGTATTTTTGTTTTTCTTTTTTTTTCTTTAAATTGTTATATTTTCTAAGCACTTCTCCAAATGCACCAGTTGATTTACTAGTTTAATTTCATCTCTCCTACCTCCGTAAAAGAAAGTTGAAAAGGGAGGGAAACACACATAAACCCTAATAGGGCTGGTAACATTCGACCGAAAACCGAAAACCGAACCGAACCGAACCGAACCGATGTTGAAATAAACCGAACCGAACCGAATCATGTGTATCGGTAACCGATTTTCGGTAACCGAAATGTTATCGGTTCGGTATCGGTTTCGAACCCATAAGGGTTCGGTTTTACCGAACCAAACCGATAAGAATTTATAAAAAAAAAAATGAATACTACTTTTAAATAGGTATATATTAGTTAAGTAAAATAATTAAGAATTAAATTATAATTAATCTAAATAACTAATAAAAAAAGGACGATATAATATTAAGTTAAACACATAGTTAGGGACTTAGGGTTGGGCTTCAATTTTGCAATCGCCTCCTTCTTCAAAATTCAGCATTCAGTTCACTTCAGAAATTCATATCGCCTCCTTAACTCCTTCACTTCGACCCGCTCTGCCGTTCACACCTTCACGGCTTCACCGACTGACCTTCAGATCGCCTCACCTTCACTTGGGAGTTCAATCCGTCAATCGTTCATTAGTCGTTCACCTCACCTGCACTTGGAAGTTGGAAGTTTGGAACTATTGTAGTATTGGCCTGTTATGTTATGATTTGTCATTTGTCTACTTTATTTTATGCCTCTGTAGCTGTGCTGCTCATGTTCATTTTAGTATTTTACACATCATTCATGTTCATAGCCTCTGTTAAATATTAACATTTCTGTGACTTGTTTTATATGTGTTTTCTGATTCAGGTTTGGCAGGACTATTAATTGATGGACCAACCTTTACTGGAAAGTGCATGTTTATAAGTAGTAAACTAGTAATCAGTAGCCTCTGCTCATGTTCATTTTGCACAGTTCTTCTGACTGTTGCTGCTGTTATTATTTTTTCGGTTTTTTATCGGTTTATACCAAAACCGAACCGTTTTATCGGTAACTGACTTTTCGGTTACCGAATGATTATCGGTTCGGTTTCAGTCTGCGAAGTAGTAAAACCGATAATGTTCGGTTCGGTATCGGTTTGAGCTTATCGGTTCGGTTACCGAACCGATTCCAGCCCTAATTAATCTACCTCTACAGGAAAATGTAGAGGTGCTTGTTGGATACTTGGTGTTAAATTACACGGGAATCCTACGAACAGATATATATTTTTCAGTTCTTACAAATAATCTAAAAAATAGAAAATTACAAATGAAATGAAAAAATAAATTACAACTGAAAAACGGAAAGATTTTAGCCGAGGCGAGTTTTTCCGCAGGAAGAACACGCCGTGTGGCAGCTAATGTAACACCCCACCTTATCGTAAAATCAGAGTGCGAAAATTTCGTAAAGTTATTTAAAAATAAAACCTTTTACTTTGCGAAAACTGATTCGGGGTGCTACCTTAAAATCGTGACTTAATTTGGAAAACTGTTGCTTAAATTTTTAATAAAATCATACGGTTACTGAAAGCATAAAGTTTTCCAAAAGTCCATTCCAAATATAAGTTCGTCAAAAGCCATCATCAGCGGAAACGTAAATCGTCATATTATATATACAATCAAAACATGAAAGTCCTGAAGCCTTCGTCTGCTCACGCTCCCTGTCCGACATCCTGACCTGAAAAGCATGATAACAATGGGAAATGAGTATGGCACTGTGCTCTGTGGAAACTCATACTAATGTAAACATTGAAAATAATAACAACATCATGATATAGGCATATACATAACCTCAACATGAAACCGGTAATAACATGAACATGAATCTGATATTGTCACGCAACGTGACCCTGACCGTTACCTCATCTGCCGGCAGAAACTAATGTCGGACACCATGTGCA